TGCTAGTTTATAAATTGCAAAAACGCTTACTGTAAATTGCTAGTACTTGGTACTGTAATTGTAGTTCTCATCATTTGCAATTAGAGGTCCAGGCATAATTTAAAGTAGGTTTTCAGAATATCCTACTGATTACAAGAATGACATAAATAATTTTATCAATACAATTGACATCAAGTCCTTCTATGTAATCATCATGATGAACTTGGTTTTGTTGGAGCTGCTGTTGTCTCCTTTCTTCTCTTTTTCTGAGGCTTCACTGGAGATCCTGTGAACAATAATTGGTTGTAAATGCATTTAAGTTCTAGGTTTTGGTTTCAAATCATTGTGTAATTTTGTAGTGCAGGGTTACCTGCTGTACTGTCCTTGTCTTTGGGTTTGTTGTTTTTCTTTCTTTCTACAGCCTCTATCTTTCTTTGCGCAGCTGACATCTTTCTTTCTGCGGTCGCCTTCTTTCTTTCTTCAGTCGCCTTCTTCCTTTCTTCAGCTGCCTTCTTCTTTTCTTTAGTTGCCTTCTTCTTCTCTTGCTCCAACTTTTTTCTCTCAAAATATTCTATTCTTGTCCTGAATCTCTTTGGTATTTCTGACCTTTCCTTTGTCTTTATTCTTTCTTGGTCCTGAATGTCTATCTCTGATTCATCACTTTCTTCTGGATCTGCCATACTATAGCCATCTTCCATCACTTGTTCTTGTTGCCTGCTGTGTCCTTCCTCGTGACCTTGTTGCTGATTGTTACCATCAATTGTCTGCTGGGTGCCAAAAAGCACATCTAGTTTGACATCCAGCTTGCTGAACTTGGACAAGAGGTACTTCATTGATTTCTTAGTTTTCGATCCTTTTGAATTCAGGATTGCTGACTTCCTGTACAGCACATTGAACCTCAGCAATGCACTTGTTGCAAGGGTCTCCTCCTGCTCTCTTCTAACATGCACTCTTGTGCTCTTCTTTCTCCACCTGTCCTTTATGTATTTTTCTGGAATTGTGCTTATTTCCTTCTCAATGATCACTTTTAGGATATGTGAGCAAAGAATTCCATCTTTGATGAACTTTGCACAGATGCAGCTGAATTCTTCATTTCCCTCTATCAGATCAGTCTGAACTGTATATCTCCTGATTCTGTGCACATTGTGGATTTGGTTGCTCTTGGGCCAGACCTCAAAAGTTTTCCCTTCCTTAGTCTTCTTGTAGCTTGACCTTGCTGTTGCCTTCAGCTGTACCTGGAACTTCCTGAATATGTTTCGGTTGTACAGCTCAGCAGCTTGCTGTTCAATTGTGTACCCAAAAATGAATTACTTGGGTGTTTTCTGGTTGCTGTAGCTTTCTTCTAGCCTCTCGTTTTTGTTGATTGTTTCAATGACACGGTCGTATTCTCGTATGAAGCCCATCATGCTATATGTCAGCCCAACATTGTCCTTCATCCTCGAGTTCATGGACTCGCTTCTAGATGTGGTTTGGATGAATGGGAAGAAGTCATGCTTGAAGTAGACAGGAATGAACCTGTGCCTCGTTTGCCACATTTTAGTCATGTACTTGTTATTCTGCAGATTCTTGTCTTCGATCATCTTCACCCACAATGTTTCAAACTCTTCAATTGTGAGGCTATTATTTATTATATCATCAAAATTCTCATATAGGCCTTTATGTTGTGAGAAGACCTTTGTGTTTCTGTTGTAACACTTGCTCTTGATATGGAATAGGCAGTTTCTGTGAGTTGCATTGCTAAATACTAGCTGAATTGCAGATTTCATCGCTTTGTCTTGGTCAGTTATTACCGTCACTGGGTGCTTCCCTCCCATCGCTCCCAAGAATGTTTCAAAGACCCATAGAAAAGTTTCTATTGTCTCATCATGCAGGAAGGCGCAGCCAAACAAACAACTTTGTGCGTGCCCCGTTATGCCCATGAATGAAGAGAAGGGAAGGTTGTATCTGTTTGTCATGAAGGTGGTATCGAAGCTTATACATTTACCATACTCTTTGTAATACTCGATTGAGCAACCGTCTGCCCAAAACAGGTTTCTGACTCTCCTTTCTTCATCCAGGTCTAGCTTGTAGAAGAAGGATGGATCTTCAGTCTGCCTCTTTCTAAAGTAATCCAGCACCTTTGTCATGTCTGAGGCCTTGATCTCTCTGTTGATTTTTGTCCTGAAGTTGCTGATGTCATTCTTCTTCATCGGCAGGGCTGTGGGTCCTCCTCTGAGGTATGACAGTATGCTCACCATTTGTCTTGTCGGGATGTTGTTGTCATTTAGCGTCCTGATCAGCCCCTTCTCCATATTAGTCATGTATTTGTGCCCTGAGAACAGTGTGTCCCGGTCTCCAGGTCGTAGTTCATGGTTGTGATCCAAATCTTGATGCATTATGAACCATGGACCTCCTTCCCGTTCCTCCCTCAGTGTTATTATACAAGGACACTCTGATTTTCCCTAGACACTGATGTTCCTTTTGGCTGATGTCTTCTTTCCAATCTGCTTATCTACCTCTGCTTCTTCTTCTTCAGTGGACTTTTGTTGATGTGCTTTGCCTGAATGGGTGCATTTCAGTTCTACTTTTATAATCTCGTTGTCTCTCTTCTTAGCTGTTGTCCTCATTGAATGTTTTACAGCAAATTTGAAGCCAGCCAAAAAAGCATAGAACATGCAGAAGTGTTCGGCAGCTGTTCTACTCTCAAACTTCTGTAGTGGCTGAGGTGTGTATGCGCTGTCAATGGGCCCATTATTTCCTTCTGATGCAGCAACCTGCTCTGCGATGATGAATTCATCAATCTCCTCTTCTGTCAGGAATTGGTTGTCATTGGAATTGTGTTTATCTTCTGTTGCAGTTGACGCAGCCTCTGTGGTTCTTGATATTGGTGCATTGATGCTGCTGAAGCCATTTTCTGACGCTGTGAGTTCCTGATCATGTAAATATGTTATTAGCAGTGTGTAGTTTTTCAGATCATTGGTGTTTTGCATTTGCAAACATTCACTGCGCACTGAAATAGGTGTAGAAAAGAATAATTATTTTTTCTGTTTACCTCATCAATGTGCATGTTGTTGAATATGTCAATTTGCCAATGATGATTTTCATTTTCAGGTATGTCCTGAAGAAAGCTTAGTATTTCTTCATCATAGTGATCACCAAAATCCTGTGTTGTACACAGATAAGTCAATTTTTCTTTGTTTGATGGTTGTAGTGCATTACTTGTATTCAAGCAATTTTGCTGATGCATGTGTGGCAAATTGTTGTGTTTGTGGACATGTACCTGGTATGCCATCCTTGAGTCTGATATTGATGAATCTGGTTGGGGTGCTAAGGTTTCTTCAAGAGCATTCATGTCATTTGCAATTAGCATGCCTGTTAACGATCCTTGTGTCGCTTCATGTACCTGTAATAATTATTTTAGAAATTGCACTTGTTCTAAGCTGAGATTACACAATGTAGCACTAGTAATTTTGAACATGTTTGTTTTGTAATTATGTACCTGCATGGTACCCCTTTCTGTGTGATCAATGTCTTCTTGTGAGCTCATAATTTGATCAAGCATAAGCTCAGTCAAGCCACCTTGTATGGAAATAAATTTTTGTTCTTTTAAGAACATGTATCTGTTCAGATTCTATCAATCTCAGCAATGATTTGCTCACCTTTTTGATTGTGTATGGGTTGAAAAGGTGACTTGAACTAGTTGTGCCTCCAAATATCTGAAAAGGATCTGAGTGTGCTGTCATCATAGCTTCAGTGTTAATTGAGTTGGATAATGTTGCATAGTCATCGAATCTGCTTGTTGTCATGTATAACCTGTTCTGCTTTATTCAAAAACTAGATGTGATTAATTGTTGTTTCTGCATTTGTAGCAGATCATGGAGAAAAGTACATAATTTTGCAAATTTATATTAGGAGATGCATTCTGTATACCATGTATCCAATTAAACAAATGGAAGGCCATTGCCTTATGTGAAGAGAACTAATACCTGGTTCATCTGAGCCATCTTCTCCAGTGCTTGTTGCCACTTGTTGATCCCTTCAACTATACTGAGATCATAGTTTTGTTGTGAGGTGTCCTATATATTTTGAAATCTGTTTTTATCGAGAGCTGAGCGGAACTGAGCAAGCAGAGATACTGACGTATGTGTAATTCGATCTGTTGCAGGGACAGTTTTGCAGAGCACTGATTGCAAGGATCTAAGAACTGAAAGTAGCAGAGTACACTAAAACATGTGTCCAGTCTAGGGATTATCAAAGATTGTTCAAAAGGTAATGTAACCACCATTCTACTCTTTTTATCTGCTGAATTACAATCTAAAGAAGAAAAATTGTTTGCACAGATTAATTTCAGACCATGACTTGTTTGATGATGCCATATTGCAGGGATCTAACTCAGCAGATGGATAGATGTCTGTTGTACTTACCTTGATTGATGTTGAGGTGAGTCTTGCCTCCTTGAATCTTGAGATTTCCCACGTTCCCTCGTGCTTTGATCTGGTTTCTCCCCTTTTTGCCCTGCTGTGCCTGAGGAGAGTAGAGCTCCTCCTCAGGAATAGATCGGTCGATCTGTTTCTGTGTGCGTTTGCTTCTCCACCAAGTTGGTGGGTGTTTTAATGGACTAAGTTGTTTCCTATCGGGCTGATGGGTTTGAGCTTTTTTTTGCAGGTTTATAGGCTACAACAACAAACAACTACAACCAAAACAGATCTACCCTGTTTTTTTTTTGGCCTTTTTGACACAGATTTGTACTAAGATTACAACAAGTACAATTGGATACATGGTACACAGAATCGTGTGTTTTTTTTGCGTGAAACACTCGAATTTTTGTCGGGTCTTTTCTGTGTGTTTTCCGTGTAGGAAACATGTGTGTGTTTTCTCCCCCTGAAACACACGAGTTTCAGATAGACGCCCTAAATTTATTTTTTATTATTTCAGAGTCATAAAATTATCAAATGACATTCAGGCTGATTACACATATTTTATAATGGCATTGTAGCGAAGCCCTCGCGGGACGGTAAAACCAACAAAGCCCACTTCCCACGATGGCAATTTTCTCAGCAACTAGAGACCGAAATATCTCCGCCGCTCCTGCGCTTTTGCGCTTTTTCTCCCCCCGCACCCCAGCAGCATCAGCGCACGCCGCTCCGCCCTCCCTGATGGCCGCCGCCGACGAGGGCGAGGCTGAGCGGGTGTCAGCGCTGCTGCGGGAGATAACGGGGGAGGGCGGGTTCGCTTTCGTCGCCTCGGCGGAGAAGGCGGGGGTGGGGGACCTGCGCGCGGCGGAGGCGGCGCGGGAGATGGCGTGGGAGCAGCTCCACTCGGGCCCCTGGAGCGAGGTCGGCACCGCCTGGAGGGACGCCTACGCGCTCGCCTGCCTCCACGTCGCGCGGCTCCGCACCCGCACCCGCGGGGCCAGCGGCGGGGACGGCGACCGCTCCGCCGCGCTCCGGGCGCTCGACATGGGGCTCATCATGGGGGGCAACCTACTGCGCGCCGACCTCGAGGCGGCCCTGGCGCGCATCTCCGCGGAAGCGTGCGGCGGAAGCGAAGGTGGCGCGGGGGTCGTGGATGAGGAGGACCAGAGGTGGACGGAGGCGCTCGACAGGAACAGAGACATCGCTGATGTGAGATCGCTATTGCCTTCGTAAGAGTTCGTGTTTGTTTCTGTGCTTACCAGACAACGTGCACAAGAACTGCGCTGAAATTTTAGGGGCTTGCTGAAGTATGATTACTTTTCCCATTTTTAAAACTATTTGCTTAGATTATGACTAGGCTAGCAGCCTAGCACCCGTGAGCTACAACATTGGGGATGAATTTGGGTTTGCTTAGAGTACTGGATGGGTTTGATGATTCCTTGAAAACCCCAGTGTAACTAGAAGAATCAAGCAATACTATCGTAGAATGAGTTGGAAATGAGAGGTTACATTCTGATTGTTTTTGGCATAGCTGTGGGTGAATCATGCAATAAATTATTAGGGGCTAAAGTACTGTGGGTAACTCAAATTTCTACACTGTTCTTCATAGAAAGATGATTGCTGTTTGTATTGTATGATTTGAATGGAAATATCTATTCGAAAAAATGAAATATCACCTCTAGTTAAATGAATGCTTAGTTTTTTTTTCCTGAAGCTGCGCTGATAGAAAAACCTGCATTTCATTTCTTGCTCCGCATCTTGCACTTGCTAACAATAATTTTTTTCAGGCACTCAAAATTCTTCCAGCGAACTCTTTATCCTGTAAGAAAGTTGAGAGGCGATCATGCATCTCCTTGGAGGAGTTTATATGTAATTACTTCTTACGTGACTCCCCATCATAATTAGTGGCGCCATCGATCATTGGCCTGCAAGGACAAAATGGAAGGACATTAAATACCTCAAGAAGATCGCTGGAGATCGTACTGTTCCTGTTGAAGTAAATGCTTCTCTTTACACTAAACATTCAAAGACTTTGGAAACAGGCTTTTCTATTCCGTTAACTTAGTTCCTGTGTCACTTTGAATATGTGTTTGCCATTTTTTAGCTTCACAAATGAATATAAAGATCAAGGAAATAAATAGTAGAATTACAGCTCATTTCAACGCCCTTTCTCTTTTAAGCTAATAAATATAAAGTAAATAAGTGTCTCTAAATATTACTTGTTTCATTGTTTGTATAAGGTATTTAAATTGACATTTTATCTCAATCAGTCTAAGTAGCAATAAGTAACAGTGTTTTGTCTTGGTTGTACTAATATTCAGGTGTGTAACATTGATCTTTTGCCTTGGCAGTCGAAATACTAGGTAAATTGGAACTCTTTTATCTTGCTCTCTTCGAAAAGAAGTTGACTAACCTAGGAGGAACTAGGTGGTGTTGTAAATGAGAAGAAATAGGCACCCAAATTCGAGCTAAGAGGACTTGAGCTTGGGAAGTGGAGGTGTACATGCAAACCTCTCACTAACTGAAATAGGCTCAATTCCTAAACTGCCCTCTTCGTGTATTTACATTTCAGTCTCAACACCATGTTATTAAAACTCTAGCTGTAGATACTTATTATGCTGAAAGAATTCGGTAATGTGATATCATGTCATTTCAACATGTTCAATTAGCTTTAGTTTGCTATTAGTATATATTGCTATCTTTCTTTAACCATATTAAGTATCTAGCTGTTGCACACAATGGAACCAATCTTCAAAAAAATGTGGGTCGAGTCTCAAAGTTGTGTAGTTCATTAATGCAATATCCAAAGGACAGACATGCTACTTATTAAACTGCAAAACAGAGATATTTCAACTCCGAGCACCACATGCTCTTGAATTTTGTAACAGATGGTTGCTTTGTATTGATTTAGGACCACTCGTTAGCTGAAGAATTTACTGAAAAGCATTTTTCGTTTTGCATTATGATAATTCTTGATCCACTTATGAAGTTGTTTCTTGTCAGGTTGGAAAAAACTATGTGTGTAGTGAGTGGAAGCAGGAGCTTGTCACATTTTCTCAGTTCCTGGATAGAATGTGGTCAACTGTCTGCCCATCAAAGTTGACATATCTAGCTCAGCATCCATTGTTTGAGCAGGTAGCTGATTTTTCAATGTTGATTCTCAGTAGATTGCCTTTGTTCAGTTGTGCATTTTACTTCATTGGATTGGGCAGATAAAAGAGCTCAGTGAAGACATAATTGTTCCCGAATACTGTTATGCTGGTGGAGGTGAACTCCAATCACTTAATGCTTGGTTTGGTCCACAGGGGACAGTGACACCATTGCATCATGACCCACATCACAACATCTTAGCTCAGGTAAAACACGTGTGTATTTAACTTGTTGGTGTACCCGTAACTTAGAATTTGTGCTATGAACAAATGTAAACTTTTGAAGCTGTAGTTTTGCAAGGAGATATGGCAGTGTTCTATTGTTCTGTTATCTGACTATGTTAACAAGTGAACTCTGCTTTATTTTAGTTCTCAGTTAGTATAGTAGTAGCTATACCAATTTGATCTTTTGTGAATTTGAATTAGATGTTATGTCAACGTGACATCTATGAGGGCTCATAAAGATAGATCATTAAGTTGGTCATAATCGCTGCTTACAGTCAATTAAATATATCAGTTAAAGATCTTGGCAGATGGCTTTTGCTGTTTACTGCCTGTATCCATCATTCTACTTAAAATTTTCTGACAATGTCATCTGTTCCTTCAAGTAAATTTTATCAGAAATGGTTGACACATATTTTTACAGGTTTTGGGCAGGAAGTATATTAGACTCTATCCTGCTTTTATATCTGAGGACTTGTATCCACACACACAGACTATGCTATGCAATGCTAGTCAGGTACATGTATCTATTCCGGTAGTTGTATATTTCCAAGCAAATATACGGAATTACCATTGTGGATCGTCATGATGTTGCATGTAGTTTTGGCAGCTAAGTATCTGAAATAACGAATTTCCAGATTTTGATTGTCAATACTCTCTTCGCGACTCTATATTGCATTGCAGACTGGACCTACTTGCTAGTGCATTTTGATGGTTTTATGTATTAAAGGTTTCCGTTTTCCAATCTCTCGGTCATTATTTTCTTCATCTTGCTTCTCAGAACTTTTCAGATTTTTTTTTTCTATTTTGTATGTATTCTGAGCAACCTCTGATAGTTAGGTTAACATGAACACACTTTTTTGTAGCCAATCAGTGATTACTTTCCAGGACTGCTCACTCTTATTCTTCTACAGTTTATTGTAGAAGTATCCACATCAATTCTCATTTCCAGATCTCGTTGGGCTCTGCTCAATGTAGTTAGAATGCACTGCTGTTTTGCAGGTAGATCTTGACAACATTGATTTGAAGGAGTTTCCAAGGGCTGAAAACCTGGAATTCATGGACTGTATATTGGAGGAGGGTGATCTGCTTTACATCCCTCCAAAATGGTGGCACTATGTCAGATCTCTGTCCACCAGTTTCTCGGTTAGCTTTTGGTGGCGTGCAGCAGTTCAACCCTCAGGCGGCTCATAGCGTCAATTCTTATATATCTCCCATATTATCAGAATCAAATTGTAGAAAACCAAAGTAACCTGACAGGACCCTTCGTTTCAGGTGGCGTCCGCTTTTCAATGGATGTCATCACCGATGGCCATTGTTAGTTTTACTTTTACCACAGTGATTAAAATATTGAAATTGCTTATATGCCGTTTGTAACAATGCATTGTTCGACCATCATGCTATCATCTGATTCTTCAAAGTTGAGAGGTTGGAGGTTGTCGTCCTCACTGCCACAATGTCGTATCCTTGGCTTGTTCGCTTTGAACTTATGAGCCGCTTTATTAGCTAGAATCTATGGTATTTTTCTTTCACAACAAAATAGTTTCAGCTGTCTTATCAGCCGGCTTTAATACTAGTCGAACAGGCCTAAGGTAAACGTACTGTTGTGGCCACCAACCACATACCGTTTCTGTACGGAGAGGAATATACCGTTGCCCATTTGCATGCTAGTTGCCTGTAATCACCGGCACTGCTTGTACTCCTGTTCGCTTGAACTACTTTTCAGTCGAGTCAGCCTATTTCAGCTTATTCTTCCTCACAGAATACTATTAAATCAGTCGAAACCAGCAGGTTTATATATCAGCCGAATAGGCCCTGGCGGCCTGGCATGTACATGAAGTTCCATGTGGACCGTGCAGCTGTCCGTAGTGTATCTGGACCTTCATGCTCTCTCCATCCCATAAGGCCATGTTTGTTTTGCTGAAATTTGGCTATTGTTGATGCTGATGCTGATTTGATGTGAGAGAAAAATACTGTTGGTTCGCTGAAAAGTACGGCTGAAATAGTGGTGAAAGACAGGGCCAAGATGGGTCATTCTCAGTTCATGGGGAATCAAACACTTTCAACTTTGACTAAATATATATAAGAATATTAATAATATTTATAATGTACAATTAGTATCATTAGATGAATTGGGTGAGTCAACTTTGATCAAATATATATAAGAATATTAATATTTATAATGTATAATTAGTATCATTAGATGAATTGGGTGAATGGTTGAATATGTTTTTATAATAAATTTATTTGAAATTTCAAATATTGCTAATATTTTGTATAAATCTAATCAAACATAGCGACATTTTTTTGGGACAGTCTACGTCCTAAAAGAATCCTAGCCTAATTCTCGATTTTGCTGGAGGCAAACAGTTTTAACATTTATAATATATTGAATAGTGTCATTAGATTAGATTAATTATAAATTTTTTTTTATAGTATCTGTTTGGAGTTGTAAATATTACTAATGATATTTTCTATATAGTCAAATTTAAGGAAGTTTGTTCCAATTTAAATCTAAAGTTACCTTAATTTTTTGACTGAAGCACTAGGATATTAGTTTATGGCGCACTTGAACACTTCATTTTTTTTATAGGGAAACTCGAACACTGTCTTTTTTTTAAAAAAAGGGCGGCAAAAGCTTTGACGCTATTTATAAACTCCAACACTTTGTCATCAGGTATGTACTAGAGTATGACTATTGAAGTGATCGGTGAGATTAAACAAAGTATGGTTTGTAGCATAGGCTGCATAGCCCACGTTCGAGCGAGGGTAGATAGATGATGCCAGTTTCCTTCAGATGTTGGATGGTGAGTGGTGACCTCAAAAACTGGGAAGCAGCACCAGTCATTCAATCAGATGCGGTGACCTCAGAAACTGGGAAGGGGCAACAGTCAACGGCAAGACACTCCAGCGTCACCTGCATCGCGTCACGGTTTTTCAATAAAGCACTGAACCTTCGTCCTTGAGACACAACCACTGCGAAGAGAAAGCGGACGCGAGAGATGCTGCGTGGCGTGGAGGCTGGAGCGACCGTGCCATGCGTGTGGAATCCAAGCAAAGCAAAATGTTGTTGCATCCAACAATCCAAGAAAAAGCCTACCAGTTGCACAGCACAACAGTAGCCTAGGCGTATGTGGCTGCGAAAAGACAGGCATCTACGTCAAAATTCTTTTGGCGTCAATCTCTGAGCAACTTCCCGCCCGCTATAGTGCCTAGTGCCTACTGCTGCATCCGCTGGACCAGCTAGCCGCGCGAATGGCGCCACGGAAAAAGAAGCTCCGCACCCCCGGCCGGCCGCCGAAGGCCGATGCGTCGCTGCGTGCGTGACCACCAGTCCACCATGCCGTGGTACCGCTACCGGCCTACCGCCTACCGCACGGCGCGGCACCACCGCCCCGACTGATTCTTCCATCTGAAATTCTGAATTCTAATGCTGTGACGTGTGATCTATACGATGCCCGCGTCCGTGTGGCATGTACGCCATACGGGTACTACGGCGCTGTTGTGCCTGTCAGCCGCGGCTCCGGCTCCCCGCTCGACTTCGCAATCGCTCGCGCAACAGCGTCACCCCTGTGGCCTGTGCAGGAGCAGGGCGAGCAGCCGAGCACTCTGCATTGAGTGGTCAGGTCACGCGCTGTTCGGCAAGTTTTCCCGTCTTGTGCAAGTGCAGGAGCGGCTTGCTGAGCCTGTATTCATATTCCTTGCTGCAATATCCACACGTTCCATTCCAAACATGTTTTTCGCTGGCATTCGTTTTCGGACAAGTATACTGTTACCACAGCTACTAGGCTTTGTTCCATGTGGTCCAAGCTGCCAGTGTTACATTACAGGTTTCTGCTACGGCAGACGGTTCAGCACTTGGCTTCATGGATTCTTGTATCCAGAACCATGCTCCTGCAATACGGATGCTCTTTTTTTTTTCCTTTCTTGCTTAGCCGTTGGAGTTGCTACGACTGCAGCCAGCAACACCGATGATTAATCGGAGCAAGGGATGATCAGGTTAACGTAACCTAACCCAATCTGGGTGGACAGAAAGGACTACGAGTTCACATGTATATGTATCATGTTGATATGCCGGATTAATTTAAGGGCTAAGCCACCTTCTAATACCACAGCTGACATCTTGTGATCCTGAACAACAGCCCAGACAAAAACTACATTCTAGCCATATATATATATATGCTCCCGTTGTGATTTGTAAAAGATTAGCAAAAGCGTCACCCCCTCTAAAACCTACATCCTCCGAAACGAAGAATTCAAACACACGTCCCGAGTACAGTGGACACTGGAATTAAACAATTTTGCATCATCGTCCTGGAACAACAGACAGACAGACATCCTTCCAGCCAGCCAGCCAGGGCCATGTTTTGTATTTGGTAATAATTGTCCAATCGTTGACTAATTAGGCTCAAAACGTTCGTCTCGCAAAATACAACCAAACTGTGTAATTAGTTTTTGATTTCGTCAACATTTAGTACTTCATGCATGTACCACAAGTTTGATGTGACGGGAAATCTTCTTTTTGCATAGTGCCAAATTCAGAAATTTGAGGGAACTAAACATGACCCATGTATGAATGCTCTGAACATTCTGCAGACCCGCATGGCTCTGCGTGCTCTCCAACCTGTTATTTTGTTCCTTGCTTTGTGCCCAGGCAAAGGCATCCTTGGGGCTGCCTACCTGGTTTCGTTTTCTTGCTCATTAGCCTCTTTGCATATACCTTTAAAGAAAGAGCAAAATGGAGATAAAAAAAGGATATAAAGACAAGGAAAGAGGTCCACATCAAAGTATAAAGGGGGAAGATACGCTCAAAGGCCTTTGGTTTAGGCCTCTAAGGCTTCTCTCTCTCTCTCTCAAAGACGAATTATTGCTTTTGTAAACACAAACATATTTTCTCATAATGTTTTGCAGGCACAAAAATATTAACACAGTATATATGCATGTGTTTTTTAGAAGATAACTTCATGTTAACAAATAACCACGGGGTACGGTGCTACAACTTGAAGTTGATTACAGTTCCAAATCTTTGGGTCAGGAAAAAAAATCAAAGAGGGGCTAAATCAGTGCTATACCTACACGTGTAGTAGATGTTTATTGGAAAAACTTATACAGCTAAGGGCAAAAAAGCTTACTCAACAACTGAAATCAGAAAAATAGGAGTAGTTAAAACAAAAGGAAATGGTGGGCAGACTTGCATACATGCAAAATTGCGAATAAAACAAGAATGCGTGAAGATTCACACCCAAAGTGTTTGGTTTAGGGCCTCTCTAGGCTTTACCAGTGCCAGTGCCCTGTGGGCTATGGCTTGGCAAAGAGACGTCCCATCCTGTTCTCCCCATGCACGCTACGCTAGTACTCCCTTCGTCTTATAATAAGTGCATTTTTAGAGTTCAATTTTTTTATAAAATAAGTGCACATCTACGTATAAGACAACATAACTCTATTTGTCTTTTTCTATTTTTTTTCTTCTCAAAGTGTAATGATTACACATTTCTAGAGGTATATTTATAATTTCTCACTAGCATTGTCGCAAAAGTTAAGTACATTTGTTTTGGGATGAAGAGAGTAAAATCCATCTAGGCATCTAGCTAGGGGCCATTGGAAAAGCCCTCAAAGCTGCAAAGAGAAAGAGAAAGGATAGATCACCTTTTTGTTGGTTCTGTTGTCTCTAACCGAGCTTTTCCAAATCGGTGATCTCTGATAATGTTTGTCTACAACTGCTCAGATTTTTTTTTTTTGCATCGGTGGTAAAGTATTAAAGGTAACCATGATTAACCTACCACTTTAACTTATCCGGACTTATGATCCTTCTAATAATCTACGATCATGGATTATAAGCCTGTTCGCTTGGTCGTAAACGATCGTGGATTATAAGCCTCGACAAGATCTTGTGATCCTTCTAATAATCCATGATCGTGGATTATAAGCCTGTTCGCTTGGTCGTAAACGATCGTGAATTATAAGGCGGAATAGTATTTTTCTCTCGCACCAAACCAAGCAGCAGTAATAATCCACGATCGTTTCAGCCGAAACGAACAGGCTGGTGATCCGTGAAACTTCTTTTGCATTATTGGCCATGCATGCTAGGACCTTGAGCTTCGCATCTGCTATGAACTACTAGTAACCTTGTTCCAAGGTTCTAATTTAACTTACTGATGGCTTGGGATCTTGTTAACCTTTTGCACAGTAACCTTTTTGACTAATCACTAGGCTCAAGACAGTGCCAGGAAGAACAGGCTCCTTGAGATCCTCCCCATCCATTAGACAAATCAAGAAAAGTGAACTTTGGAGGCCTTTGAGGAACAATAAGAATGTCTGTCAAATGGACTTCTTTTATCATGGAGAAAAGAATTGTAATTCGCTCCGTAGTGTGGCAGGTGGTTGCAATTTGCAGGGGCCTCTCAAATGGTGAACTTCACCAGGTGCCAAATTGAGCGCGTGTTTAGTTTCCATCCAAATTCTCAAAAAAGTGTTATAGTACCCATCACATCGAATCTTGCGATACGTGCATGGAGCATTAAATGTAGACGAAAAAAAACTAATTACACAGTTTGGTTGTAAATTGCGAGACGAACGTTTTGAGGCTAATTAGTTCATGATTGAACACTAATTACCAAATAAAAACGAAAGTGCTACAGTAGCCCAAAATCCCAAATTTCGCCAACTAAACACGCACTGAAGGCAAATGGTTTTCAGATTTTGTAAGCAAGAGAGTATATATTTTGGGACCTTAATCCAGGTTTTTAAGACAACGTCCAGAGCTTTGGCTGACCCCTGCATCAGCAAAACAGCCAGGCAGGCAGGCAGGCAGGCCGCAGGCGAGCAGGAGAGCCTGCAGGGCATCACTAGCAGGTTCATTAAACTCAGCTGGTCATATAACCAATGCGGAAGAGAGAAGCATGACCACTGTTTGGCCCACACCCAACTGCCAACCACTACTCTCAGAATTATGAAAGGTTACTTTGTGTAATGACCAAAAAGGTTCCATTTTTACATATACTATTCAAATAAAAGAATTGTGTTTCAAACGAGGGATTACTGCCGCTGGTCTCTTAAAAAATACACCTCGCAACAACAGCAAGCCGTAGTCCAGAGAAAAGGATTTTAAAAAATTGCTCAAATGACGCTGCAGGCACTGTCAATCTCTTCAAATGTGCTGTTCCCTCCACCACATCACACTTCACCCACCTCCCTCCCTCCCTCCCTCCCTGGGCCTCGGCTACTGTTCGCCCATTCCTTGCTTCCTTCTCACCCTGCTCCGCTTCCGCTCCCACTACGTTTCAGATTCCCAAGAAGGCAAAGAAGCCCCTCCCTTCCCAGCAGCAGCAGCTTTGGAGCCAAAGGGGCAGGCAGCCTTTGACCCTCCACCGCCGCCATGGCCGTGGTCGCCGCCGGCGCCGAGGCCTTTGACCCCGCGGCGCCTTCCCCGTCTCGCGCCCCGGCCTCGCGCCAGGACGTGCAGGCGGCCATCGCCAAGGCCGTCGAGCTGCGCCAGCTCCACGCCGCCCTCCTCCAGCGCGGCGCGCCCAATGCCCGCGCCGGTGCCGGCGCCAGAAGCAGCCCTGCCGTCATCCGCCTCCCGCCCGTCGCGTCCCCCGCGCGCTCCAGAGCAGCAGCAGACGAGGAGTACCCCGTGTTTACTCCGGTGAGCTAGCTTCTTAACACGTGTTACCTATATGGATCATGGATGTGCTGTGCGAGTGGGCGACCTTAAAGCCTCGAGCTCACTGTAACTGACAATGGCGTCTCTTGCTTGCTTGCTTGTCGGGCTCGGCCAGGCCTACGACGATGAGGAGCGCGTCGCTGCCGTTGCATTGAACCACATTTGCCAGGACAACCGAAGCCGGTCGGAAAACTGGACCGGGGTCGCCCTGGATCACGGCGGCAGCGACGACGCGGTCATGTCCGACTACGACGGCCTTCACGCCTTCTCGTCCTCCAACAACGAGGTGCTCTTCCCTTCCTCCAACGACCACCGTCTTCGCTACAGAGGCACGGCGGCGTACAAGATCCACCCCGCCTTCATGCACTCGGCGCCGTCGGCCGACCGCTTCCTCCCGTCCGCCGGCCGGGCGGCCTACACTTCCGAGCTCAAGCTGCCGCCGGCGACGTGCGGTAACGCGTTCCGGCCCGCCACGATCAGCAGCACCAGGGTGCCGCCCCCGTCGGCGCACTCGCGGACGAAGCAAAGAGGGCCGCCGCAGATCCTCTCGTGGATCTTCCCCAAGTCGAGGAAGAAAGCCAAGCCGCCAGAGATGACGTCGCCGACCGCCATCGAGCGTGGCAACATGCCGCAGCTGCTGACCGAGTGGGGGGCGCTGTCTCTTGAGTCCCTCAAGAAAGAGCTCGCGGAGGCCAACGCGCACCGGGACGCCGCGCTGCGCGAAGCTGCCGAGGTGAGGTCGTCGCTGGGGGAGCTGGCCACCAAGCTGGTGAGCGTGGAAGCCTACTGCTCGGAGCTCAAGAAGGCGCTGCGGCAGGCCACCAACTCGCCGTCCGTCTCCCGGAGATCGACGAGATCAATCGAAGCAAGCCGAGAGCTCCCGATGCCGGTGAGCCACGAGGTAATGGTGGAAGGCTTCTTGCAGATCGCGTCCGAGGCGCGGCTCTCTGTGAAGCAGCTCTGCAAGGCGCTGATCCAGCAGGTGAACGAAGAATCCAGTGACGGCCTGTCCGACAAGCTGAACCTGCTCCTGCGGCCGTACCAACTCGCGCTCATCGGCAGCACTGCCAAGCACTGCTCGAAGGCCGTGCTGTACTATCTCGAGGCGATCATGAACCAAGCCATGTTCCAGGACTTCGAGAACCCCGCGTTCCAGCGGAACGGCTCGCCGAGGTGCCTCGACCCGGCGGAGGACCGCCGGCAGAGCTTCGCCGCCTTCGTGGCGCTACGCAACCTTAGCTGGAACGAGGTTCTGCGGAAAGGCACCAAGTACTACAGCGAGGACTTCAGCCGTTTCTGCGACCGGAAGATGAGCGGCGTCGTGGCGACGCTTGGCTGGTCCCGGCCGTGGCCCGAGCAGCTGCTGCAGTGCTTCTTCGTCGCCGCCAAGTGCGTCTGGCTGCTCCACCTGCTGGCCTTCTCCTTCGGCCCGCCGCTGACGATCCTGCGCATCCAAGACGGCCGCGCATTTGATGAGATGTACATGGAAGACATCCTACATGACAGGCAGCAGGTGCAGAGTCCTTGTCAAGTAAAGATCATGGTGATGCCGGGGTTTTACGTCCAAGATAGAGTGCTTAAGTGCAGGGTCCTCACAACCAGATCAGCAGCATAATTCTGGAGTTTTGTTTGACCAACAGCTAGTGTGGTGTCAACTTCCACTTGTAACATTTTTTTGTCTCGAGCCAAAGGTGCATTCAGGTGCTGAACCGCATGCTTGCTGTAGATTTGGAGTAAACAACTAACAAAGTGAAGTCTGAGGTTTCTTTGACCAACAGATTTGGATTACTCCATTGTTATGTTATGATCAACAAAAATGTTCCATTACAAGATATTTTTTTCAGACGTTATGAAAGCCTCATCCCTGATTTGGCTAGAAACCAAGAAATATTCTAAACATTTTCAAGCCAGCATCTGCATTTCTGCAGCACAAAACTGAGCATCACTACCGTAGAGAACTAGACAAGATCAAAACATACATATGCATATCAGATGCCTATATGACAAAACTGAAACCTGGAATCATACCCAGCTGCTCTCGAATGAGATATCATCGAGCCGAAACGACAAATCCCCAACATAATCCTCTTCAACATCTACTCTACCTTCAATGGTCTCCACAAGGTTTTGGTGTAGTTGAGGGAGCGGTGTTGAAGGCGGGGGTAGTTTCGGTGAACACGTGATCCTCTCTGCTGGACCAGAAGGTTTCTCCCAAGCAAGCAAATGCAGCTGGATGGGGCGCACTGCGAGGCGGTGCAAGGAGAGTTTTTGGCTGAGGGAGATGGTGTCGAAGCAACGGACTGCCCCTGAACTGGAGATCATCCAAGGTAGGACCTTCTCATTGGACACCCTTGAGATGATCAGAAGTTTCGACACCTGCTTGGCCCGGTTGAACAGATCACAGAGCCCAGATCGCGTTGATGGTGCCTCGCTTTCCTTGTCATCTTCGATTACAGATGATATGTAGATAAAACCCTAACAAAAACAAGCATGTCAGCAGATTCCATGGATGATTCTAATTGCTGAAGTAGTACATAGTAACTGTGAGTATTGCGTAGAGTGCTAGTAAAAACAAGACCTCTTCAGTTCGGCTGATGGCAAAGCCAAGCCTTGTGTCACCTTCTTCAAGTGGGATTTCCAGCAGCAATTCTCCTCCTATGCAGCTGTACCAAAGCCGTGCTGCCTTTACCACACCAATATCCACTCCATGGTAATCTTCAAAACCGTAGAGCGTCGCATTAGTGACGTTCGACAGATCAGATAATGAACTTGAATTCACAGATGCAGACGCTGTCTCTCCAGATATCTGCATGTTTCAGAATGTGACAGTGCGAAGACAAAACTGTGAGTAAAATTTTTCAAATATGAAACGATGTGAGAGGATTTGAACAAGTTGATTGCCCAGTTTCTAGGCTTAGTTATATAAATACTATCAGAAGATTAAAACTAACTGAAGTCTCATTGTAGTAACAGCCAATCTACACTGTGAGATGTCTGAATTAGAGAGCTTGTGTCTGCACCTTGGTGAGAAGAGCTTCACTCTGCAAATTCATGAGATCGATGGGTATCCCCGAGGCCTGCGAAGAGCAGAACCATGCATTGGCACGCGCCAGGGTATCATCGAAGGACTCGTAGTGACAAGCATTGTTGTCTAGAGCCTTGGGCAGGACAAGCATCGAGAAGTAGCAGCTGGAGTTGGTTGCGCACAGCGTGTCATGCATCTTCTTGTCCCATGGGTATGCGACATAGCCATCCTGGAGTTGTGCCTTGCTCAAGGCTGATGCAACTCTTGTGCTCCTCGTTCCTTCATGGAGAGAGGGATGTAAATTTCATTTATTAGAAAGTTCGAAGTCCACAGACTAGCATGCTCATACTGTATGTGAAATGTACTCAGGAATTAAAGCACCATCATATGTGATCAGAAAGCACAGCCAGAAAGGCAGTAAGAAGCATGTAAGAAAGAACAGCTAGGCATTATTACATGAAAACGCTAACAAGTATCAACTTTATACAAATGCAAGTCACAAAATTTCAGATTTCAGATCAAATGAAAATGAGGATTGGTTAGTTTGAAACCAATTAGAGAATCTCTAGCAGATTATCGATCCTCCGTCTCCTAAAAGTCTATATAGGTGATCTCCTATTATGGGTAGTGTATCTTTTTCTTTTTCTCCTCCAACATATTGCCAATACATTTAAAGTGGATAAGGGAGATGGTGGATCCTCTACATTTGAGAGACAAGGGGCGGATTTTAAGTAACTACTTTAAACTTATAGGCATTGGGAATATGATGAGTAATTTGTCGCAGTAACCACAATCCCTTATATTGCAATTTTTTATATTATTAGAGATGTGATAAGTGTAAAGTAATATGTTGCCCTCCCATGTCTGAACGCGCAGCAGGGGCAGGCGTAGAAAGGGCTCCCTGCTGCTACACTGTAGCCGCGGTAGGGGCAGGGGCCGAAAGGCACCCCTGCCGCACTGTAGCCATAGCAGGGGCATGTGTCATAGTCAGCCATGCTGTCGTATCTAGTCACTGTAGCAGCATGGTAGCCTTGTATGTTAGTGTACTAGGATTAGATGGATAGAGTTGTATTTATAGCTTCCTACTGCAACTCAGTAAGGAGAGCGAGTTCAGTTTTGCCATCTCCTCTGCAGAGCTTCGGCCAACACTGGTGCTTGTGCTGTGTGTGTGCGCTCTGTTCTCCCTCCCTTCTTCTACCTCTAGCCATAGTGTGCAGTCGGCAACGTCGGTGAGCGGTCGGCTCACCCATTGAAAGCTCTATTTTGATTTTGGTGAATTGATGAAACCCTAAGTGCTAACCTAATTTATCAAGTGATCATGAGATAGGTAGCACATTCCAAGTGGTGAAGCAAATGAAGATCATGACATGATGATGGTGATGCCATGGTGATGATCAAGTGTTTGGACTTGAAAAGAAGAAAGAGAAAAACAAAAAGTTCAAGGCAAATGTATAAATGGTAGGAGCCATTTTGTTTTGGTGATCAAGACACTTAGCGAGTGTGATCACATTTAGGGTTGATAGTCGTACTATTAAGAGGGGTCAAACTCGTATCGAAATACGGTTATCAAAGTGCCACTAGATGCTCTAACTCATTGCATATGCATTTAGGATCTAGTAGAGTGCTAACACCCTTGAAAATATTTGTTAAAATATGCTAATACATGTGCACAAGGTGATACACTTGGGGTTGGCATATTTGAGAAAGGTAAAGAAGATAGAGTTGAAAAGAAGTTAGTCACGCTGGTCTCTAGTGAGACCGGTGCGTCCAGTCAATGATACAACAAAGACGCTGGCGTCGGTCTTCGACCGGACGCTGACAGGGTGAGTCCGGTCTGGCTGATGTGGCAGCGCACAGAAGAGTCACCGTGTGACCGGACGCTGGGTGAGTCCGGTCGAGCATGACCGGATGTGTCCGGTCGTGAAAAGTCGTCTCTGGATGCTTACTGGAAATGACCGGACGCTGGGGTTTAGCGTCCGGTCACTTTGAGCTGCTGCGTTCGGTCGTCACTTGACCGTTGAGATCGGGCGATCAACATTTGAAGAGGGGGGACACGTGGCACGCATTGCATGATTGGACGCTGAGGTCCAGCGATCCGGTCAATATGATCGGAGCGTCCGGTCACCCCGTGTTGTGCCCAGTGAAGGGGTACAATGGCTCTATTTCGTGGGGGCTTCTATTTAAGCCCCATGGTCGGCTCAAGCTCACTCTCTTGACCATTTACATTGACATAGCAACCTTGTGAGCTTAGCCAAAGCCCTCTCACTCATCTCCATCATTGATTCATCATCTTTGTGAGATTGGGAGAGAATCTAAGTGCATTGCTTGAGTGTTTGCATCTAGAGGCACTTGGTGTTCATGTTTCGTTGCAGGATTCGCTTGTTACTCTTGGTGGTTGTCGCCACCTAGACGGCTTGGAGCAGCTAGGATTGTCGAGCGGAGGTTGGTGATTGTCTCTGGCTCCGATCGTGGTGATTGTGAGGGGTTCTTGACCTTTCCCCGATGGAGAGCTAAAATGTACTCTAGTGGATTGCTCGTGGCTTGTGTGATCATCATCTTGTGTTGGTTGTGCGGCACCCTATTGAGGGTTTGACGTGTGATGCCAATTAGCACGTGAACCTCCAAGTGAGTGAATCGCCACAATGAGGACTAGCTTGCCGGCAAGCAAGTGATCCTCGGTAAAAATTATTGTGTCATCATTTGATTCCGAGGTGATTGGCCTTCATTGTTATTCATTCTTATGATTAATTGGCTCCTTCCTCGACACGGTGGTATAACCTTCTTGCTCACTCTCTTTACATTACCGCAAACTAGTTGTCAAGCTCTTTAGTGTAGCTAGTTGTGAGAGCTTGTTAGTTTGGTTAGTGTGGCTCTTTAGTTAGCTTTTGAGAGCTCACTAACTTAGTGTAGTGTCATAGCTATTGTGTGGATAGAAACTATATAAACTAGAATTATGGTAGGTGGCTTGCATTTTTAGTAGGCTAGCGCAATACTTGCTTCGTCTCATAATTGTCTAACCGGTTTGTTAAGTGTTGTTGTAGAAATTTTTAATAAGATATTCACCCCACCTCTAGCCATTAGGACCTTTCAAGTGGTATCAGAGCCGAGGTCACCGTGATTTGAGGCTTAACAACCTTTGGTGTAAAAAATGGCTCTGAACAACACAAAGAAACCACCTCAATTTGATGGCTCCAACTATCCCTATTGAAAAGGCTAAGATGACAACTTATATCAAGTCAATCAATAGAAAGGTTTGAAACATGGTAGAGACAAAGATTGAGATTGAAGATGAAGAGACTCCCACCGCCGTCGAAGAAATGCTACTCGAAAATAATAACATTGCTCTTAGTGCCATCCATGATGCTTTGGATGAGAAAACTTTTGAGCAAATCAAGAACATTGAGAGAGCTCATGAGGCATGGAAGAAATTGGAGAAATTATTTGAGGGCACTCAAGCCGTGAAGGGTGCAAAGGCATATAATCTCAAAGAGAAGTTTGCAAGTTTCAAGATGAAGGAGGATGAGAATGTGTCGGAGATGTTTCATAGGCTTCAAGTGCTTGTCAATGATCTCAAAGCACTTGGAGAAGAGGTGAAGGACAAGGACTTCTCCCACAAGTTCTTGACATGCTTGCCTTCAAGATTTGGCGCATTGGTCACTATTCTAGTGAGGAGTGGTTTGGACACCATGACACCAAACCAAGTGTTGGGAGATATAATGACCGATGATACATATAGAGATGATGATGAGAATGAAGAAAAGAAAGAGAAGAAAGATGAGAAGAAGAAAAGTGTGGCATTCAAGGCCACATCATCCAAGGGCAAGGCTAAGCAAGAAACATCAAGTGAAGATGATGGCTCATGGGGGAGATTGAAAGCTCTAGTTTGGTTTTGGTGAATTGATGAAACCCTAAGTGCTAACCTAGTTTATCAAGTGATCATAAGATAGGTAGCACATTCCAAGTGGTGAAGCAAATGAAGATCATGACATGATGATGGTGATGCCATGGTGATGATCAAGTGCTTGGACTTGAAAAGAAGAAAGAGAAAAACAAAAGGCTCAAGATAAAGGTATAAATGGTATGAGCCTTTTTCTTTTGGTGACCAAGACATTTAGCGAATGTGATCACATTTAGGGTTGATAGTCGTACTATTAAGAGGGGTGAAACTCATATCGAAATACGGCTATCAAAGTGCCACTAGATGCTCTAACTCATTGCATATGCATTTAGGATCTAGTGGAGTGCTAACACCCTTGAAAATGTTTGTGAAAATATGCTAACACATGTGCACAAGGTGATACACTTGGTGGTTGGCACATTTGAGCAAGGGTGAAGAAGATAGAGTTGAAAAGGAGTTAGTCACGCTGGTCATGCAGTGACCGGACGCTGGTCTCAGTGAGACCGGTGCGTCCGGTCAATGATACAGCAAAGACGCTGGTGTCGGTCTTCGATTGGACGCTGGGTCACTTGATGACCAGACGCTGATAGGGTGAGTCCGGTCCGGCTGATGTGGCAGCGCACAGAAGAGTCACCGTGTGACTGGACGCTGGGTGAGTCCGGTCGAGCAGGACCGGACGCGTCCGGTCGTGAAAAGTCATCTCTGGTTGCTTACTAGAAACGACCGAATGCTAGGGTTCAGCGTCCGGTCACTTTGAGCTGCTGCGTCCGGTCATCACTTGACCGTTGAGATCGGGCGATCAACATTTGAAGAGAGGGGGCACGTGGCACACATCGCGTGACCGGACGTTGAGGTCCAGCGTCCGGTCACTCCGTGTTATGCCTAGTGAAGGGGTACAACGGCTCTATTTTGTGGGGACTTCTATTTAAGCCCTATGGCCGGCTCAAGCTCACTCTCTTGACCATTTGCATTGACATAGCAATATTGTAAGCTTAGTCAAAGCCCTCCCACTCATCTCCATCACTGATTCATCATCTTTGTGAGATTGGGAGAGAATCCAAGTGCATTGCTTGAGTGTTTGCATCTAGAGGCACTTAGTGTTCGTGTTTCGCTACGGGATTCGCTTGTTACTCTTGGTGGTTGCCGCCACCTAGACGGCTTGGAGCAGCGAGGATCATCGAGCGGAGGTTGTTGATTGTCTCCGGCTCCAATCGTGGTAATTGTGAGGGGTTCTTGCCCTTTCCCCGGTGGAGAGCCAAAAGGTACTCTAGTGGATTGCTCGTGGCTTGTGTGATCCTCATCTTGTGTTGGTTGTGAGGCACCCTATTGAGGGTTTGGTGTGTGATGCCAATTAGCGCGTGAACCTACAAGTGAGTGAATC